CCGAAGTTTTCCCAACTCGATGTAGTGAGGAAGGGCTGAACCAGAAAAGGTCACCCGAAACGAGTCTGTGGGGGTAAAGCTCTTTTTACCCTCGCTGAAAGATACTGAGTTCAGCTTCTGGACTTCCAGTATCTCAACCGTGGGAAGCAAGGGGTTCTTGAAACGGCCAACCGCTTGCTTCGCCAAGATCTCGGGGGTCAGACTCGCTTCGGTGACCACACCTTCGATCTCCACATTACGAGCTGGGATGTACACTCTATACTCGAGTGTAAAGAGCTGGGAGGCAGCAATCTCGTTAGCTTGTTTCAGGTTAGAGACGACAACGCGAAGTTTATTGTACCTCACCTTCGAGATTTCGGTCACGGCCGAGAACCGTTTCGTCAGATCATTAGTAATTTGCATTACATTCAAAGGTTTCTTTTTGGGCTGAAAGTAAACAACCCATGGGCCAGTCGAGTCTTCTGGGTAGGCTCGCGATCGGGGGCTTATCTGTCCCTGTCCATTACCAGACTGAGATGACGAACCAGGGATGGCATCATCTGATTTCTGGGATGACAGACGTTTTCGACCCTTCTTGCTATCGCGTGGCAAAGTGGTGTCATCTTCCGACAAAACGTCCATTTCGTCTTCCGACAAAATGTCCATTTTGCCGTACTAGTGGGAGCGAAAAACGCTCTACCACTGCAACGATAATCAAAATTACTCGGACACAATACACGAGAAAAAAAAATACAAACACAGAAACACAAACTTAAAATTTAACTGATGGGAGAAAGAAAGAAACAAGAAACAAAAACTTATCTGATAATCCTATACTACTATCACCGAGCGTTTACACAGCAGCAGCGGAGCGACGCGCAGCTTTGATGATCTTCGATCCGCGTGTGCGGGCGGCCTTCGTTGGTGTGTGCTTGTATGAAGCTCGGCACTCAGCTGAACACACGAGATGGATGAGCGGTTTGAATGTGGAGACAGATGCTGACACTCGATGACGATGATCCGTGTGCACAGGTATGCGTGACCACGCACCGATGGTGCGCAAAATGGTTGGCGAATTGGCAATCGCAAAAACAATTTTCCTTCTGATGATGCCGAAAACACACTTTCTTCTCAGAAAAAAAAACTCACTTTTTGATAAATTTATCGGGAATTATGCCAGGAATCACTAAGCGAGAAAAAACTGATTATTTACGTCAGATAATAGCGAGAAAACTTCCAAATTAACGGAGCGCGAAACAAGTCGACCGTACTTCTTGCTAGGACGCAGTGAGATGCCCGAAAAATTATAGTTGGTCGTCTTTTTAAAAATGCGTTCAATTTCGTTTTTTGTTGAATATTAACAACCGGGAAATTTTTAAGATTTGTACCGGGAAAACCGGCAATTTTAAAATGAAAATTCACTGACCAGATAAAGGGAGAGAGATTTAAATTAAAGTATGCTAAGTTGAAGGTATAAATGTAGTACTAGCTGCCTGCCCGGCCTTGCTCGGGATTCAATATAAGCTTTAGTGTATGCGCCGAATAATAAAAAGCATGCTATATTGCGATTGTGCTACATTTCCCCGAATGTTGCTTCCCCGAATCCCATACAAACATATACCCCATTTCCCCGAATGCCATTTCCCGAATGAAATTTCCTCGAATGAAATCCAAAAATTTATAAAAATACCTTAACTGTACTACATTTCTTAGGTTGGTTTCGCGAGCATTACGAAGACATCTTTGAATATTGCAACAATTAACCATAAAAGAACAGCTCATGATTAAAAGAAGGGAAAATCTTTGTTCAAAGTAAATCAATGGGGCGAGAGTTTTAGCAACAATCAATACGAAACTAACGATTTTAAATTGGCTCACCACTTTAGTAGCCTATTGGTCCCAAGCAAACGATTAACGTACCCTATTCTAGTTGAAATTCTATTACTACACTATGTTTGTTTTGATTCGCTATGAAAGTTTGACAGATAACATCAGGGGTGTGTGGATTCATGCAGAACATGCAGGGGTGAGTGAAATAGCTTGGGACTGCTTGGGACCGTTGTTCTGGTACTGAGTGAGCCAAAAATAATAATGATTTTCTTCGGGACCCAGTGGTCTTAGAGTTACCTCTATGGTTTTAGTGAGGCGGCGGCAGTACCAGAAGTGGAAGTGTAAAAATTTGTAATATATTTTTAGGAGATTTTCCCTTCTTTATTTAGGAGATTTTCAGCCGTAGGCCGTATTTTTTCCTTCTTTTATAAATGTTTTTTTTCGAAAACTTTCTCAAAACTTGTGAGATTGACGGTTTGACAAATTGGTAATGTATTTTCAGGATTTTTTTCCTTCTTTTATAAACGAGCAGTTCTTCCGAGACCTTAGACAATATGTGAGGTCGATGGATTTAAAAATTGATAGCATAGTTTTACGAGATTTTTTCTTTTATAAATTCAAATCGAGAAATTTGGCAAAACTCGTGAGATATATGATTTGACAAATGAATCGAGGAATGCTGTACACTCACAACTACTGACAGCATACCCGAGCAAAGTTAGAGATTAAATTGAAATCAGAATTTGCTGTTATGATGTAACTTGTTTTGAATACTCCATTTGATTTCATTTTGGTTGATGTAACGTTTAACACAGCAAAAATGAGAGCAACATTTTACTCAAACGGAAAACTAATCCTGCTTACAATAAAATCAATTTAATTGATGATTTTGCATTCATAATGTTTAACTGAATACGGGCCTGGCGTAAATGGTTAGCATCCATGCTTTTCACGCTGAAAGACTTGATCTCAAATCTCACCTCGGTTTAGTCACGAATGACCTAAAATGTGTTAAACAAAACAAATAAACAATAATCGTTAGTTCAACGACAGATGAACTTAAATCAAATTTTAAACAAGAAATTAACAGCAGAACTTCAAGTTAAGTTGCTTTGATTTAAAATATCTTGACTGCATAATGAAAGCACAATATGAAATCAGACTTCTGTCGCGACAATGGAAATCAAAATGGATTTTTCATTATGATAGGTACTGCAAACTTTAATATCAATTTGCTTTCATTTTGTTAACCGACTTTGCTCGGGTAGCGCCACTTTCTATGGACGAAGAGTTAAACCGAAAAATAATGTATGCAGATTTCAACATTTTTATTAAATTATCGTTTGTGGAGGCGAAACGAGAAAATATAAGCCACCTTCTGTACCATTTTTTTAAAGGGCCAAGAAAGATGCTCTAATTTAATAAAATAAACATTTTCCGGTTTCTGCGTACAAAACATATCGCCATAACTTATGTTTATTACTGTCACCTGTTGAAATTTGGTTGCAGTAATTTCCGAAACAAGTTTTGCTAAATTTCCCGAAAGAACTGCTTATGTAAAAAAGTAGGAATAAAAATATTTTACCAATTTGTCAAACCATCGATCTCACATGTTTTTCCAAAGTTCTCGAAAGAACTGACTCGTAAATAAAAGAAGGCAAAATCTCCTTAAAATTTATAACCAATTTGTCAAACCGACGATATTTTGCCAAATTTTTCGATATAAATTCAAAAACGAAAGGTAAATATTCTAGAAATATATTATCAATATATATATAATACCACAAATGGTTCAACCTTGTCCCATATTGTTGGAACTGAGTACTGAGAACTGAGAACTAAGCACTTTTTTAAGGTTTTTGTCTATGGATTCCCCATCGACCTTACAAGTTTTATGCCAAATGGGACCTTACGGCAACTTGTACTAATATATTTTTCAGTTAAAAGTACAAAATACAGGAGGGACAAAAATTAGTACATTTACCCAATATGCGGCAGATAGAAATAATAATTTGCTATGGATTTGATTCCTAACTTTTTTTTCGGGGAAGTGTCATTCGGGGAAATGTAGCACAATCCTATATTGTTCGTAGCCCCCCCTCTTATCTAAGGGCTACCCCCTATGAACATCTCCTTATACCTCCACATGCCAAATTTGGTTCCATTTGCTTGATTAGTTCTCGAGTTATGCAGAAATTTCTGTTTCATTTGTATGGAAGCCCCCCTTACAGAGGGGGAGGGGTATCGAACCATCATAAGAACCTTTTCCGGTCCCAACAACCTCTGCATACCAATTTTCACGCCGATCGGTTCAGTAGTTTCCGAGTCTATAAGGGTCAGAAAGACAGACAGAAATTCATAGCAACCGTTATGACCATTTTCAAAAGTGATAGTTATTCCGAATCACCCTGTATATAGTGTTTGAAGGTCATGGGATGTCACTGAAGTGGTTTATATGTAACTAGCTGAGCGTTCCCGGTCTTGCTCGGGATTCAATATTAGGTAGAGTTTTTGCGCCGATTAAAAAAAAAGCACGCTATACCGAATGTAGCCCCCCCTATGACCATCTCCTTATACCACCACATGCCTTATTTGGTTCCATTTGCTAGATTAGTTCTCGAGTTATGCAGAAATTTCTGTTTCATTTGTATGGGAGCCCCCCCTTACAGAAGGGGGAGGGGTCTCGAACCATCATAAGAACCTTCCACGGCCCCAAAAACCCCTGTATACAAATTTTCACGCCAATCGGTTCAGTAGTTTCCGAGTCTATAAGGGTCAGACAGACAGAAATTCATTTTTATATATATAGATAGATTTTCCTCACAGTCGCTGTCCGACGATAGCACATCGGTTACTAAGGAATCAAGCAAGTCATTGAATTGTGGAAAGCCTTTATGCTTAAAGGCCAACGAAGTATTGACAGGGGAGAGTATAAGATAAGATGTGGAGCCAGTGTCATACTTGTTGTTTACCGCAACCATGTATCGTTGTTGAGTTGCTGATGTTTATAATAATAATTATTATTGGTGTGACTTGTCATGAAATATGGATACACCCTTACCGGATTTACTGTCTGCCGGCTGTGTACGCACTGAAACTAGAGTGTAATCTATTCGAATTTTCTTAATCAGCTCTTAGGATGTTCTCACGTTTAACATCTGATAAAATGAAACATTACTGGTCATCTAGTTTAGGTCTCTGTATTTCCCTCGTACTATCGAACAGTCATTTCGTAGCGTATTTCATACATAATAAAACTTATGAAACGCTTACAAAACCTCTCTTCACACGAGTTTCGAAGATCCTTAATCATAACGAAGGGCCTTATGGGAACAAAAAAAAAGAATATAAAACGGAACCAAAGCAAAGCGATTCCCAATCGAACAAACTAACCACACCGCTATCTTGCTAAATATTGAACGCATTCTCCTCGACTTAAACACCCATCTTCTTCTTCAGGTCGTCATCCTGCGCGGACATGGCCGTCAGCTTTTTGCCTATCCGTTCGTGGATTTCCAGATACTTGGCCACGCATCGATCCAGGCAAACGGATTCGCCCTTGCCTACAAAATACAATAGTACCAAGTTCAAGTCAATCGAACATATTAGAAAGCATATTTTGTGGAATTCATACCAAGCTCGGCATCGGCGTACTTGGGTGGGATGCACTTCTTGTGGCACGCTTGGGTCATCCGGGTGTACAGATCGGACATCATTTCGATTTCCATCTCCTGCATCAGTTGCAGCTTTGCCTGCTGGGCGGCATCCATCTGTGGCATACTCATCTTGTCTTCTTCTGTGCTTCAAACTAGCTTCCCGAGGTAGTATTCACTATTAAGATTATATTGGCTGTAATTCGTATTCACTTGATTTGATTGCTTTAGGACTGGTATCTTCGGGAATTTTCCACTGAGTATTCGCCTTCGTTCGATTTTCTCATGCGTTCACGAATTTTCATATTCTCATAACGATTCTTATCGACCGAGCGTTTCGAGTAGACGAAGCCTCCGATTCCTAGCACCGTGATGATACCCCTGTTGGAATTATAGAAAAAAAAAGAATTAAAATCGATTTCAAGTCCGTCAGCATATTCCAGTCCGAGATAACAAGAAAAGTAAAATAAAACTATAACCTCGTTCTTTATGTTTACTCATGTAATCGATGCGCTGATGCATCCGAGTACTTACCAGCCGATTCCGATTTTTCCTAGATGTCCCAATTGCATAATTCGTTACGAAACCAGATAAAATAAAATTTGAAGAATCACGTTTTCCTAGTTTTGTTCTTTAAGAACAAAACAACACTTTTCTGTGCAGGTTCTTACGAAACAACCATCCGACCGATTCCCAACAACGTGCTTTTTGCTTTTGCTTCTGCCCAGACCAGGGTTGCCAAAAGGTAGGTAATCTGTGTTTTTGGTCCAAAAACACTTTTTATCTTATTTTTTTGTCTAGAAAATTTGTGATGATATCCCTAATAAAAAATACTATAAACGAACGGTAACCCGGATGGTAGAACTATCCCTCAATTGGTTTGGATGATACCCTGAACACGTTATTAAGTAAAATAAGCACAAACATTTTATAAGGAAATATATTAACATTTACTGCTTCTGATAATTTCTTATTCTTGTTTTTTAATTGCGCAATTAAAATATGTTGATATTTATAAGAAAAGGTGATTCAAAAGTTGCACTACATTGAAATAAAGATAATGTTTCTATAACAATTTAAGTTTCAGTACAAATCTGTGTAATCTATTTAAAACTAAAAAATATGTGATCTTTGAATACAGCCCTTATAAACGGGTACCATACACAAACGATATCATAAATCGTGTGATCATACCGCATTGGGCCAGGATGATATCGCGTATTGGTGGTTTTCATAATGTTATTGGTTAGGCTTGTATGGTTTCCCTTATAAAAATTGTATGGTTAATTTGTGGAACAGTTCGATCATTTGGTTTATCGTTAGTTTATGGTATTTTTTATTAGGGATGCCTGTTTATGCGGGAGGTTCTTGGTTTTTGAACACTAAAAAAAACTGTAGAAACTCAGTTTAATCGGTAGTTTTGGCAACCCTAGCCCTGGCGGCCGAATCGTCAAGCGTTACGAATCTTTCTGTCAATGATAAGTGCATCATCACGAGCTGACAGTGAAAAGGGTTTGACCTGTTTTACTGAGTTGTGTTTTACCTTGAACTCTTCAAAATGCGTACACGGAGAAACGAAATAACTCAAAATTAAGTTATACTCATCTTGACAGCTAAGTAAAACCAGCGAACTCAATTTGAAGTACCTTGCTAAGACCATCTAAGACTTCGCTCTGAGTAAAATGCTCCTCTTCTTCATTTTTCTTTTCTTGGATGTGTTGATCTGGTCATCTAAAATCAATCATTGTGATTTTACCCATGCTTATCTGAAGAGAATTAATTTTATTAAAATCTTCCTTATTCAGACTCCAATGTGACGTCCAAGTACATTAGCCTCACGTTACATAAGAATAAAACATCTTGACGATGTAAAATTTGACATCAGGACACATAGGTTGATATCAGAATTAAGTATTACATAAGAAACTAGATTCATCACGATGTAAATTGTTGCACGCTTAAAACATTAGATACATCCTATGACACAATAACCAAACGTTACAAAAGAAGCAAACTTCATCACGATGTGAAATTTTGCACGCATATAAAATCAGAACATCTGAATACATGCGATGAAATATTAACCAAATGCTATGTTACCGCGAGGCAATTAATTTCAAACCAAAACCATAAGATAACCACATAGTTGCATCTCGTTTGCATAGCCCTAGCTGACGTTGATACCAAGGCCAAGAATATGAAATGAAAAGTAGGGCAAAAGGAGCGAGAGCTCGTTTTACATAATCTAACTGCAGTATTTACTTAGGAACGTTTCTGCGTTCAAGTAGAATAAACACGCCCACGCATGGCATGCTTGCGCATCTAGGTTACGTTTAGCTTTCCCTCTCTGTTTATCCTTAACGAAGGATATAATTATAATATTTAAACGTTACAAATGTCTCATTCTTATTTGTAGAGCCATATCAGATCTGAGTTACGAAAATAAATAAACTTACAAGATACCTGAGAAATCCCAGATCTGAGAGGGCATAGTATATAAGGCCTGAACAACACAAATTTACCCTTTCAAGGGCGATCGGAATCCTAGCTTATTAGAATAGGCAAATTAGGTTAAAGTTCGGTATTGAAAGGGATATGTTAAACCCTGGACAAATCATGTAAAAGTTTTACATAATTATAAGTTGCTAATGCAACACGTAGCCGTAAGATCACTTTGTACAATTTTGTTGAATAAAATTAAGTTTCGTAGGTTACTCCAGATTCTTCTCTTTTTGAATCCGAAAGAACTTTCGGCCTAGAAGTGAAAACTTCTCTCCTTAACCGGAGAAAAAAGTAGCTCCTAGAAGAACTCTTGACTTGGAAGTGAAAACTTCTCTCCTTAACCGGAGAAAAAAGTAGCTCCTAGAATCGAGAAACAGTGTCTGACCTAGTAAGCGAAAGACTCTCCCTAACCGGAGAAGAAAGTAGCTTTTGGCGGCGACACGCTACATTACAATCAAACTTCATAACGATGCAACTGAAACTGGTCTTCCATTGCCGATTTCTTGCAAACGACCATTCAATCACACAAAGTATACCATCAGACAAAGAAGATAATCTCCAATCTATTGATAATGTTGATTTGAAAGATTTACTCGTGGTAAGTGAGGAGGTTCGACTGCGGATATTCGAGTCCGACTTGTACTTTCAAAACTTTTGCCAAACTGCTATTCTATTCGTTAAGTATATTTGTTGTTGCCTTTGCATGCCACTTTTTTTAAGTTACATAAGAATAATAATTTTTAAATACATCACATCGCGTAATCGAATGTGTTGAAATTCTGGGAGAACATGTGACCCATATTATTTTCTTCACACTCATATATTAGGTTTAAATATTTTTAACCCTTAGGGGGTGTCACTCCTAACTGAGTTTTCAAAATTAAATCCAACTGAACCTAAGTTCGCAAGAAGCACCACCAGATCAAAGATTATAATTGATTATGTTTACTTACAGCTAGTTGCTGTAAAATTTATGTACAATTTGACGATTTGGCTGAATTATCAAAAAGTGTTTAATAATTTTCATGCTGGCTTAAAAGAAGTCTAAGGGTGAATTGTGAAGTAAAAATGTACGAACTGCTCTCAAAAATATATATTGTCCTACAATCTGATGCATGTGTCACTATAACACCACCTTCTGTCAAGACGAAACTCGAAACGTTGTGTAAAAAAATCGGGTCAGGATTTCGAGAAACTAACAAAAATGAATTTATCAGCTCCGTAAAGCATCCGCGATTGAAAATAAAAATGCATAGAATAGCAACATACAGCAATGTGTTGTCTAAATGCGTGGAAGTAGGCGCTGAGAAGAATCATAACACATTACGGTGCATACAATACCATTGAATAAACATAGAATAAAATACATACCTTTCACTGGTGTGCCCGTATTATGAACTTCCATCAGTGCAGAAATTTGAATTTTTATGCAAATATCTGATCTGGTTATTGGAAACTTTTGTCCCAGGATGATAGCAGTAATTACATCCGAACCGTCCATTGAATTGTGTCGTGTTGATTATTTTGCTTTTTCCTGGTACATCTGCAATAACTGCTGCAACTGTGAATTTGTAAATAGTTCCATCGATTACCAGCCCTTCGGAATATAAATGTTCCAGTTCCTGAGTAAATTCTTTGAGAAATACGGCCATTGGTGGGCTTCCGTGATTATTCCGTGGAGATTTTTTTTTTTTTTTTAGCTCTTTATTAGTTCCAAATTCAAAATAAATTACATTTCATTTTTAACCTAGGTGCTCCAGTTACTGCAGTAACGTACCAGCCTTAATTGTTATGATATATATCTAAGTGTTTTTACATTGTTCATGTCTTGGCAATTAAGTATTTTAAACAGGTTTTTTAAACCTGCATGTCAGTATAACAATTGATATCTTAAAACTAAAAACTAAAACTAAATCTTATCTAAGTATAAAGGGAATTAATCGTTGCAATTGAGGATTGCAACGATTTTTGCCTGAAATTATTAATTATTTTGTTGGACATTTGTGCTAAAGTCTCAACATTCGAAATTCTATGTACTTCGGTAGTACTGTACCAGGGAGGCAACTTCAAAATCATTTTCAGAACTTTGTTCTGAATCCTTTGAAGTGCTTTTTTCCTGGTAGTGCAACAACAAGACCATATTGGCACAGCGTAAAGCATGGCCGGTCTAAAAACTTGTTTAAATATTAGAAGTTTATTCGTCAGGCAAAGTTTGGATTTCCTGTTTATAAGAGGATACAAACATTTAATATATTTGTTACAATTAGCTTGAATGCCCTCAATGTGATCTTTAAAAGTTAATTTTTGGTCAATTATTAATCCAAGATATTTCACTTGGTTTGACCAGGAAATTGGAACTCCGTTCATAGTGACTATGTGACTACTACTAGGTTTCAAAAACGAAGCTCTAGGCTTGTGTGGAAATATTATAAGTTGAGTTTTGGAAGCGTTGGGAGAAATCTTCCATTTTTGTAAATAAGAAGAGAAAATATCTAAACTTTTCTGCAGTCTGCTGCAAATAACACGAAGACTTCTTCCTTTAGCGGAAATGCCTGTGTCATCAGCGAACAAAGATTTGTGGCAACCCTGAGGCAAATCAGGGAGGTCCGAAGTGAAAATGTTATACAATATAGGCCCAAGAATGCTACCCTGAGGAACTCCTGCTCTAACAGGTAGTCGATTATATTTGGAATTTTGATAATTTACCTGCAGAGTTCTGTCAGTTAAATAATTTTGAACTAATTTCATAATGTAAAGTGGAAAATTAAACTTTTTCAATTTAGCAATCAAACCTTCATGCCAAACACTGTCGAATGCTTTTTCTATGTCTAGAAGAGCAACTCCAGTTGAGTGGCCTTCAGATTTGTTTGAACGAATTAAATTGGTAACTCTTAAGAGTTGATGAGTAGTTGAATGCCCATGGCGAAATCCAAACTGCTCATCTGCAAAAATTGAGTTCGTATTGATGTGAAGCATCATTCTATTCAAAATTATCTTTTCAAAAAGTTTACTTATTGAAGAAAGCAAACTTATTGGACGGTAGCTAGAAGCTTCAGCTGGATTTTTATCCGGCTTCAAAATTGGAACAACTTTTGCATTTTTCCATTTATCAGGAAAGTATGCCAAATGGAAACATCTGTTAAATAATTTTACCAAGAAAGACAAGGTACTCTCTGGGAGTTTTTTGATGAGGATATAGAAAATTC